AAACGTTTCCCTAGTTTTTTATGATAAGGAAAAAGTAGGAAATTAGTAGTATCTCTATACAGCTTTATTCGGTATAATTAAATACAAATTATGAATAATATGCCAAATAATCTATATAATAATGTATATAAGAACTTCAGATTTGCCCAGCGAGTGATCCTGTAAAGTTTGGTAGCGATCGGAAGTATGAACGCAGACGACGCTGCTGACGGGTACTACTAGTAATCTATATACTATTGTAAAGCTTTCGAAATTAATTCATCCATGCCCATATAAAAATACTGGAAAGGTTGACATTTCCAAAAGATGGCACCTATAATGACATAACTTATCATTAAGAAAATATTTTTTGTATTTCAAACGAAGCGCTAAAAAAGCAACTAAATTAACATTATATTTTTATTTATCTGTTGCGTCTAAGTCATTAATTTTATTTTAATACTAGCATTGCCCGCGGCTCCGCCGGCGTTCAGATGACCAAAAACCAAATTCTTAGATTTTATATATTAGTATACTCTTACATTGCAGTTTTTGTATTTTTTTCCTGTATCCATCCATCCATATGTTCACCCGGATAACCAGCTATCACCATACCAAATTTCATCAAAATCCCTCCAGTGGTTTTTCACAGACAGACAAAAATTCTAAAAACCACAGATTCGGCCTCTGGATCGATAATTATGTTTATTTCAATAATATTTTCCAAAAAATATTTAATGTACAGATTCGGCTTAGTTACAATTTTATTATATGTATAGACGCCTAAAACCGGCAAAGCTCAACAGCCCTTACATATTTTAAGGAGGAAGATATTTAAACGAGATTGTAAATTAAACCCGTCAGCATAAAATAATGCCAGTTAGATAGGGTACCACTTGTTATTTCGCCCTAGTGATTAGTAAACCAAGTATCTTAAATTTCGTTCTAAGCAACAACTACCTCAAAGTTAAGTATTTTGCTAACGATACTTAGTAAAAGAGAATGTGAAATGTGCTTTTAATCTATGGCTCAAGTGGTCTGTAAAACTTTACGATGGCAGTAAAGCATTCCTTCACAATACAATCTATTACTTTAATGACTCGTGTAGAAGTCACATGGAAAATATATTTAATTGAAATTTATATACTAATTTTATAAAGAGGTAAACTTTGTGAGTTTGTGACGTTGTAAGGGGTAATCTCTGGATCTACTGAACCGATTTAGATGAAATTTGGCAATAAGGTAGTTTGAGACCCTGGAAAGGACATAGAATAGTTTTTATCCCGGAAATCTTCGCGTAAGGGAGTGAAAATGAGCATGAAATTTTGTGTGGCGAATCAAAGTTTGTACAGGGATGAACCCGAGCGAAGCGAGAGTGAGTCGCTAGTATTTCATATTTTATTTCAAAATTTACATTATTAATATATACATACATATTTAAGTATATCATGTTTATATCATTATAATATTTTCTTAGGACGTTTACTACTACAGCAAAATGAAAATAATATATTTATAAAAAATAGCATATATTACCAATGTTATTTTGTGATTTGTATTATGACTAGTGACTCAATCTCGCTCCGCTCGGGTTCATCCCTAGTTACCTTTTAATGTTTAGTATAGCTTTCACAAAGATGAGATATTTTCCCGCAGTAAAAAGTATGTTGACCTAGATAACCAGCTATCATGGTGCCAAATATCATCAAAATATGTCCGGTGGTTTTCTCGTGATATATTCCCAGACGGATTTATTATATGTATAGATTAACTATATCTATACCAACTGTATTTGAAGGTATAACATACACAACACGTTTAACTTACTACTTAGTTAAAACATTTCAAAATTATTTTTAGATTAAATTTTTAAGTGGTTCTGAGTCATTTATTTTATTTGAACATTCTTTCCATGTATTGTATTTTTTTTTAATAACGATTCTTTCATTTGAAATCAACTGTCCGTAATAATGGTCCTATAACTGATTGTGTAATCATCCGACAATTTCTCTCTACTCTAAGACCTAAGGGACAAAAGCGCTTTATTTCTGCTTTCGTTGGTCTTGACTTCGTATATTGTGTCTACTTGTGTCCAAAATGCGTGCCTAAGAGCTTCGTATTTATAGTATTATCAAAGCTCTCAGAAAAAACTTAATTTATAAAAAAACATCACAGCTTTTTTTCTAAAAATAATATAGTGATCTATCTAATAGTGAAAATCGTATGAAAATCGGTACAGTAGTTTCTGAGATCAGACCAAACAAACACAAGCTCAGGCTAGCAGAATACTTTATTTTTTAAGATATAGATAATAAACTGTTTCCATACAAAAATGATGTCACTTCGCTTGTATGAAACTGAATGAACGAAAAAATACATATACATTTCAAATCTATACAAATAATTAAAATTGAAGTGTCTGTTTGTAATGTTAAAATAACAGCTTTTTACTACATGCATATGAAAAGATATATGGTACCTACGTATTAAAAAAACATTTTTTTTTCATTTTTGTCTGTCTGTCTGTTTGTTTCGACTAATCTCTGAAACAGCTGGAGCGATTTCAACGGGACTTTCACTGGCAGATATCTGATGTTCTATGTGAGTAACTTAGGCTACTTTTATTTTAAAACCGAGAAAATATTTAAACGTACCTTGGGACGCACAGCTGAATATTAAACATAGTAGCGGTAGGATATTCATTTCAAAATATGTACATATGTAGGTAATTTGGAAAACTTATTTATACGTTGAGGAGTTTTCTTGTATATTTTAGTATTCTCTTGCACGTTTCATGTTCATTAATATTAGTAGACAAGTGAGGCGCCAAGAATTGAGATCGAGACTAGCATGTCCTTTAACTTGCCATATACAATAAATAATGTCAAATTTTATGTTTATGTTTCATTGCACTGGAAATATGTGGGTTGATTTTAATTTCCATACGTCATTTTGTTATAATTTCATATTGATACCTAATAACGAATATTTAACTGCCTAGGTGTTGTAGTTACTAGCAAGTACGGCTGCAAATTAAGAGGTCCTGAGTTCGAGTCCCGGGTCGGGCCAAGTTCAGTTATTGAGTTTTCTGCTAAGAAAATCTCAATAACGAGAAGTTGGTGGTGTTTTATTTACCCCGTGCCTAGGAGAGCACGTAAAGCCGTCGTTCCTGCTGTTGAGCTATCACCGATCGTGTCGAATTGTCATCCCATCGGAATTTTAGAGTGACAGAAATACACTTGTATCTGTGCGTACACTTGTATATCTCCTGCGCTGGCTAATCTCAACGAGGTTGGCCGCCGTGGCCAAAATTGATCAAAAGGACATTATTAATACTTTACTACGCTTACATATAGTAAATCAAAAATTTAAAGTCTTCTGTTTGTAGATACTTTAAAAGTAATGGACTTTTCTAAAGTATTAATTGCAAAAGCTTCCTGTTCTTCGCTCAAACCAACCGAATTTTTTGATAAATCACATAAGTTTTAGAAGCGAAGTTGTTGGTTTTTCTTGAAATTTGTCGTCTTTGAAAGCTGAAAATAGCTTTGGTTTCCAATGAAATATAGTCAAAGCCAAAACTTAAAGCAATTTATTAAATTCTGTTACTATATATTTTATACTAGCGACTCACCCTCGCTTCACTTGGGTTCGTCCATAGCTTGATTCCCCATACAAACTTTCATCCCCACTTTCACCCCCATAAGGGATGATTTTTGGGAATAAAACTATCCTATGTCCTTTCCAGGGTCTCGAATTATCTTCTTACCAAATTTCATCAAAATAGGTTCAGTAGATCCATAGATTACCCCCTACAACGTCATAATCTCACAAACTTTACCTCTTTATAATATTAGTATAGACTAGTGACTTACTCTCATCATATTTTCATAATTGTTTTATCTTCTAGGATACAAGATTAAAAAAGAAGCCAAATAATTTTTTTTGACTTTTTGTCTGTTTATTTATTCATATAGTTGATAAATATTGTATGAGATGAGATATTTTCCCGCACTAAAAAGTATACTTTATGTTGACCCAGATAACCAGCTACTAAATTTCATTAAAATGTGTGCAGTGTTTTCTCGTGAATCGTGATGCGGTCACTAATAGACAGACAGAGAAAAATACTAAAAACTATAGATTCGGCCTCTGTATCGATAATAATGACTATTTCAACAACATTTTCCAAAAAATATTTCGTATACAGATTCGACTTAGTTAAAATTTTATTATATGTATAGGTTTTTGCAAAAAAATACGCCATAATTTAATAATAATTTATTAATTTTTAGTCCTTAACCTAAAATAAATAGTTTAAATAAATAGCTTTACGCTAACTCTACTAATACATTATCAGTCTACATTGTGATACATTTTTAAATGTAAAGTAAATACGAGTAGGTACATAATATTCTACAAATACAACTTAAAGATATACAGAGGTTTCTACCTTTAGGAATATACTTTAAGTGAAAAATCAATATTAAAAACAATGTAATTACAGTAAAATAATTGAATATATTTGTTTTGTACATAAATTGGTTAAATTATATTTAAAAAATAAAAAATAAATTAAATTGTTATAAAACTATATTATAATATTTATAAAAGTATGATTTTGAATCATATATTTTTAATAATGAATAGGAAAATATTTTATTAGAGAAGTATGTAGTTCATAAGAATTTTTGTTAAAAATAATAAAAAGAAATATGTAAAATGATTATTAATTATGTTACAACTTTTATATAATATTTTTAATAAATAATTATAAAGTTATCTTTTTTTAATTAATATATTATTCTTGTATTATTATAGTATGTATATTATACACTCGAACTAAAGGAATAAGATAAACAGAGGGAATAGAACACAGTAGTTGACGCCTGAAATAGTATTCTATTGCTTAAAAAATATGATTCGCAGTGTTCAGAATCAGCTCTTGTAAGAGACTTCACTATTATTATTCTAAACGTTCTATTTATTCTTAATCTCATACTAAATGATATATAAAATAATTATGCTGGAGCACCTGGTGCAGTAATATAAATAGGTGCAGAAGTTGGTCTATGTTTTGGCAACGTGTATGCCCTATTTGATGGCCAATCCTTTCCATATCCGCCTCCTGAGGAGTACGCGTAACTGCTACCGTAGTCGGAATTGAAGTCTGAAGAATCTCCGCCAAAGTACGAATAGTGTGTCATTGGATGGTGGTGCTGGAAATAAGTTATCTATATATTAATACCTGAGGAGAAATCTTTGAATCCCTTTTTAAGTATCTTGCATGTACAGAGGACAAATGAGCTTTGGCATAGTTAAATTTTATATAGAGGACTGCAGAAAGCTAAAATTTATTGACTTTCTTTTACCCGCGAATCAGCTCGCGCATTTTATTTATATATATATATATATATAACTAGCAGAACCTGCGGCTTCGCTCGCGCTAAATTTATAAAAAATCTCTAAAAAGGCAGTTTCATACAAACGTTCATCCACTATTTTACCCCTTATATGATGAATTTCGAAAACTTGCTAAAAAACGTGTTTATTTAATTTTATTTAAGAGTATATTTATCAAGTTTTAAGTAATTCTAATAATAAATATTTTTTTGGATTGTATTATAACGTGATTTCCCGTGGGATTTAAGTAATTTTCCGGGATAAAAAATATGCCTATGTCACTCTCCAGCCCTCCAACTGTATTCACACAAAAAATCACGCCAATCCGTTACTCCGTTTCGACGTGAAAGAAGGACAAACAAACAAACAAACACTTTCGCATTTATAATATTAGTATGGATTACTTCACTCCTAAAAGATGTAGCACGATGTTAGGTAGCCTTTATCAATATTATACGAGTACGTACATAATATAAAGATGAAAAGTTTGTCTGTCTGTACGTTCAAATCCCTGAATCTATGGGCTCGTTTCACAATTCTTTTGCATTTTATAGGATATCTATAAAACTTTGAAAAAAGGACCTCTATCAATCGATCAAACCTCACCACCTGCTTGGGTCTATGCTATAGTTGGATCCAATAGATAAAGCTGTTACTGAGACCTAAAATTTTCTTAATTTTTAATATGATGCTTTATAATTTTTTTATTTTAATGAGTCAATATATAAATAGCTTTCATTATCAATGTCACTTATGCAGTATTTTAATGTTGAATGCTACTAGAACATTATCAGTAAAAGCTGTGCTTTGTGAAGAGCTTCGATAAAGCTCCAGGATTAATCTATCGATTTCTATATAAAGTGGTTGTACGACAAAGTGAACTACCAATCGACAAACATCAATACATGGGTGAGAATACATAATGAGCGTTGTTGACTCTAGATATGTGTAGTAATTAATCTCAATACTAAAAACTAAACTAAGTTACAGGTCCTAGATTCGATTTCTATATGGGAAAATAATTTTTATCAAAGAAAACTTAATAGTAATAGAAATATGTTCAACACAATAATTTTATGCAGAATTCATTTTTGAAATGCATTAACAAAAATCCTAAAAACAGAGATAAATACAATAGTAGGTATAGTAAAAAAAATCAGCTCTTAAAACATTCCTCCGCTGGCCCTCACTTAATATGACTGGAATCAGGCAGTCCACCACTATGGCCAAACACAGATTGGGGAAATTCACATGTCTTTTTAAAACTAATTAAGTTCTTTTAGACGTGAAGTATAAAGTATAAGCAAGTGGTAATCATGTTGAAAACGATTCGCAAGTGAACATCTTAAGAGTGCCTTGACTCGGAGTTTTTCCAGGGTTACTACACTTTGTTTTGTAAGTGGGCGTCGTTATAAAAATATATCTGTAAAAAAAATGTATACAATAGTCTATATAATTTGAAATCTTCTTCCATATCTTTTCATAAAATCTCTTTGATCTACAAAGTAAGTCTCAATATTTAATAAATCTTTTCAAACTTAACTTCCGTTTATCTTATTTGAGATAAATCTTTTGTTTGTACTAACTCATAAAGGCGAAAAGTTTCTTTCCTGGATGGAAAGACATTAAGTCGAAGTTTCCGTCATTTAACAAACTGTGTTTGTATGATACAAAAAACTGATGCGAGAATCGAATTTATAACCCCGGATACAAAAATAAAGACTGTTGCATTTCTGTAAGACCACTGTCATTAAAAAGAAAATTTTATTATTTCCTTAAATTCTCATATATCAACTTAAATTGTTATACGAGATAAATTGATTTATAACTAACGTTACCCGCGGCTCTAGCTGCGTAGTTGATTTATGTGTAACCCAGAACAACCCATCATCTTTGTCTCAACAGCAAAAACATAAAGCTTTAATATAAACTTACTTTTAACTAATTATGGGCCCCATCAGACTCCCATAGCTTGGCGTTGTCTCCTAACTATTATAAACTAGGTACCTACATATATGTCAAATTTTCACAACATACTCGTAGGTCAAGTAGTTATTCAAATTTCGTCCTTATAACGTTTCGCTTTTATCTAATATATAAATATCTCGTGTCACGGTGTTTGTGGTTACACTCCTCCGAAACAAACTGACCGATTTTAACGTTTTTCTTGTAGGTAGATATATTTTTAGGTATGATAATAGCACCCCCATTTTTTATCATGATTTTAGTATTTTTGTATGAACAATATTAATCCCTCCACCACTTAACAATAGATTTCTTATAAATTTAATCAATATCTTAGAAATTTACCTGGAGGTGTTATATATAATATATATACTTATACATAGCGACAAACCCAAGCGAAGCGAGGATGAGTCTCTGTATACCATAAAACCAAAGAGCTTTTTTGTAGATTAAACGTGGGCGTAACGGCGGGTTCTGCTAGTCAATACATACCTATAATAAAATTGTAACTAAGCCGAATCTGTACATTAAATATTTTTTGGGAAATCTTATTGAAATAGACATTTTTATCGATACAGAGGCCGAATCTATAGTTTTTAGAATTGTTGTCTGTCTACCTGTCTGTCTGTTACCGCATTACAGAAAAACCACTGTAGGGATATTGATGAAATTTGGTATGGTGATAGCTGGTTATCCTGGTCAACATATAGGATACTTTTTACCGCGGGAAAATGTCTCATTTGTGAGAAAAAATACAAAAACTGCAATGTAAGAGTATACTAATATGTAAAACCTAAGAATTTGGTTTTTGGCCATCTGAACGCGGGCGGAGCCGCGGGCAATGCTAGTATTATATAAAATACTAACAAATGGTTCGTCTCTTCGCCCTAACTAATTAGTCACATTATAGTAATATTCTAGAACAATAGTATTAGAAAAGGTAATAATTGAAATTAAAACAGTAAGCTACAGTGGGATTATGTAAAATGTAAATGTAAAAGCTTTGAATTTCTAAGTTTCTGCTGATTAAAATTATTTGTATTTTGTATAGGTACTATTACTTTTTACTGTATTTTCATTTACAATAAACGAGAAAAGCTGTAATTAACTAATTTAATTAATAACTTTACCCGTTGCTAAAATTAGACATTCTCTAGCGAATTACAAAATAATGACTGATTTCTATGACATTTATCTCCATAGGTGCTTAGTGGTAGCTCATGTATTACTCCAGGGGGTTCTATGCATATGAATAGAGTACTAGCATTGCCCACGGCTCCGCCCACGTTCAGATGACCAAAAACCAAATTCTTAGGTTTTACATATTAGTATACTCTTACGAGTACATTGCACTTTGTGTATTTTTTTCTCAGAAATGAGACATTTTCCTACGGTAAAAAGTATCCTATATGTTGACCCGGATGGATAACTAGCTATGACCATACCAAATTTCATTAAAATCCCTTCAGTGGTTTTTCTGTGATGCGGTAACAGACAGACAAAAATTCTAAAAACTATAGATTCGGCGACTGTATCGATAATAATGTTTATTTGACTAAAATTTTCCAAAAAAATATTTAATGTACAGATTCGGCTTAGTTACAATTTTATTATATGTATAGATATTCAGCCCTTCTTAAAGTCCCATTTCTGGGCACGGACCTCTCTTCAATAGGAGGCAAATCAGGCCATAGGCGAGATTGGCGAGCTTTACATGTATTTGGAAAACTTGCTATGTTTTCTTATACATGACATAATATGTATAGTGTCCTCACCATTTTTTCCTTTATCTTAAGAGAAGGGATCATCATTATATTGAAAATGATTCGCACATGAATTTATTTATTATATTATTCAAGATTTATGCGATCTTCATTTCTTTCTTTTATTTCAGTCTTGATTTCTCAAGCAAGCGTGATATAACGGGGCTACCATTGCCTTACCTATGTACTATATTTCATCTAAATCCATCCAGTCATTTCAACATGAAGGAGTAACAAATATACACACATACAACTGGTCTCGTTTATAATAATAATGTCCTTCTGACCGATTTCGACCACGGCGTCCAATCTCATTGAGATTGGCCATCAGCGCAGGAGATATTATAGTGCTCAAGTGTGCGTGCAGACACAAGTGCACTCTCTACTCCTGTCACTCTCATACTCCGGTGGGAGACACGAGACACGAGCGGTGAGAGTTAAGGCGCAGGACCGACTGTTTTACGTGCTGTCCGAGGCACGGGGGTGAAACACCGCCAACTTCCCAACTCCGAGCTATTACTGAGACTTACTAAACAGAAAGACTCAATAACTAAATTGGCCCGACCCAAAACTCGAACCCAGGACCTCCAGATCTGTGGCCGTACGTAGTAACATACTAACCACTAGACCACCGACTCAGTTCGTACTTATAATACTACTGTATGTCATTTAATATGAATATACAAAACTGAAGTATTTAAATTTACAACTTGACATAAAAAAATTATCCTTTATGATGTTTCTTATAACATCAAAAGTTACAATCCATTTCGTTTAATTTTATCTACGAAGTTGAATTTGTGTTTCTGAATCTTCTTTATGCCTTCAAAGTTTTAGTACTTGTAACTTAAAAAAAAATTTTTTTTTGCTATTGCTAAGTTTAATGGTCGATAAAAAAATTTAATATATTTTGTTTTATTAAAATTATTTCTATTTGCATGTTTCTATGTTAAGTTTAGTTTAAGTGAGCTTTAAAGTAAATAATTTATTTTATTTGTGTTGATTTTTTTCCGTGTCCTGTCAAATTTTATAGTTATTACGCGGTATCTATCTACGAAATTCATTCATTTTTATACTTTTATTTCTTTTATACTTAACAACAATACTACGTTTATCGAAGCTTTTATATATGGAGCGTAAGGAGTACTATCTCTGTGTTCGAAAGTGTCCATGAAAACGCGTCTAATAAGGGTGGCGTAGGATTAATTTAAAAGGAAGGGCTAAAAGTAATTAGAATAAGATAGAGAAATAAACAAGGACTGAATTGGACATTGTGTACAATAGCTAAATTCATATCGTAGTTTTTCGTACATCAGAGCCATCTATTTTCAGCATACAGGTGGACACTTTTTGAACTTATCTCCCATATATTTACAACTTATCTTATGATGTATGTATTTAAAGTTATATATGTGTAGTGTATCAATTATCTGGTATCCATAACACAAGCCTCGTAGCTTACCATGGAACAAGATGGTGCTGTGTGTTAATGTCCCACTATAAACTGAGCCAAACGCGTCTAGCATTATAAAATGTGTTGAGAACACAAAATAAAGATAAAACCGCTAAAATATAATTTTCTAAATGTGACATTTTCACTCAAAAACCAATGGAATGACAATCTAAATGACCAGAGCTAAATGGGTAGCAGAACCGAGGGTTTTACGAGCTCTCCAGGGCACAATTGTAATTTTCTGTGTAAACGACAATAATATTTTTTGCTACAGCCCGGGACATGAACCCAGGACATTTATTATATTAACGAGAAAAGATCGTGATGGTAATAAGCCATATAATAAAGCACAAAAAGTCCGAATTAATATGATAAGTAATTATTTATGTCAGAATAGTGTTGCCAAACATGCTCCACGGTTTCTAAGGGATTTCGATATATACAATTATTATGGTTTATTTTTCATTTGGTTTTGCGCAAAAGGTTAATTGCTTTTGGGACGAAATTATTTTGTTGTTATTCAGAACGTCCTTGTCCTTGCTAAATAGTAGATTATTATAATATACGAGTATACACTATATATATATATATATATATATATATATATATATATATATATATACTTATATTGTATATGTATATTGTAAGACTCTAACCAAGATATAAAATAAATAGTAAAGAATTATATATTTTCGATAAATATATATCCATACTAATATTATAAATGTGAAAGTGTGTTTGTGTTGGTTGTTCGTTTGTTTGTTTGTTTGTTTGTTTGTTTGTTTGTTTGTTTGTCTTTCTTTCACGTCGAAACGACTTGGCGGATTGGCATGATTTTTAGTGTGGAGATAGTTTTAGGGCTGGAAATTGATATAGGCTACTTTTTACCGCGGGAGAGTATCTTTTTCCCACGGGAAAACACGTTATAATACAATCGAAAAAATATTTCTTATCAGAATTAATTGAAACTTGATATAAATGCTCTTCGATAATCAGATCTTAGAATTTTCAAATAGCTATTGCAATGTAGATACAATTAGCATGAAATCAACTCATCAACGCTTGACCGTTTGCTACTGTGGAATCTTCGCTTTAATTAAATTCCTTATAGTACCAATTCTGTAGGAGTATAATGCATTTAAATGTTCTCATCTCTAAATAACATTAAAATGTCTGGATCCAACACAATATGTATTACGTCTGCATTAGACGTAATACATATTTTTATTCTATTTCAGAAATTTAAAGTATATATACATATATATATATTAGTAATTTGCCCTCACTTTGCTTAATTTCTGGCAATCTGTGCATTTTTAACGATTTTTTTATGTATTGTGAAGCGGTTTTTTTTTATTACAGATTGTGTTTCAAATTAATCTAAGGTAAAACGTCAACTACCAAAAGTATTAAATCATTCCACTAAAAAAATAGAATCATGAAACAATCTAGGAATATATTATAAATACTTAAGTATTACCGAAAAATTGAACCCACTTTAACTTGAGATCTTACCTTGCAAGCTTTCAAAGTGCTGAGAAGACTTGGTACTAGGAGAGCAGCTATCAACAATAGCTTCTTAATCAACATGACTGCTAGAAGAATTGGGATGAGCAGCATTTTAGTCTTCATTGTAGCTAATAGATTCAGAAGTGGAATCATTATAGCCAGCCTCTTCTTTTTACCACGTCCTATAAATAAATTAAACAGAATCTTATATTTCTTACATATATGTATACATCTATATACTTATATAAAAATCAATGTGTGTATATATGTTCCCTATGGACTCCAAAACGGCTGGAGCGATTTTGATGAAATGTTCAGACAATCTTCAGATTAGCCGAGCGGATGATTCTGTGTAGTTTTGCAGCGATCGGAAGTTTGAACCCGGGCGAAGCCGCGGGCACTGCTAGTGCTCTATAAATTTGTTATTTTAATTTAGCGTTAGTAAACATTTTGTTTGGATATTTAGTATGTACTGGTATTTATATTAAGAAAATCTAAAAATCAAATATATTGCAATAACTCATTTACAGACAAAGGCTTTCTCCATAAATAGCTTGAAAGTTAAAGATACTTTTTAAGCCTTTCGTTAAATACATTCATTATGTGTACGGGTAACGCTTTTCTTCATTTAACTTAATATTTGACTGTTTGAGAAATTCGATTTCTGCTATATCATATTTTTATTAACTTTTAAAGTAGACCTGTACGAGTTATTTATAATGAATTAAGCAAAATTCATATTAGATCTTATTATTAAAAATATTAAATTAAGTTTTGAGCAATTATGAAATTCTTACTGAGTCGAATCTGTACATTAAATATTTTTTGGAAAGTCTTATTGAAATAGTCATTATTATCGATACAGAGGCCGAATCTAAACGTATAGGATACTTTTTACTTTAGGAAATATCTCTTTTTTACTAACTAAATCCATACTAAGCTTAAAACATATATACAGAATTTTAAAATCAAGTCTTCTGTCAAAAAACTTAGTCTTTCCAGTAAGCATGTTTCCCGTAAAGATTTCTTTGGGTACAAAGTAGTAAACTAAAACATTTAAAATGGTCAGATATTCGCTTAAATGAAAGAAGCTATAATCTTTAATGAACATATTATTTACTAGCGACTCACCCGCGCTCCGCTCGGGTTCGTCTCCAGGTGATTATTTGAATTGACGTCACTTTTTTATTTATTAACCGATTGAAATAAAACAAAATGTACTAAATGTTAAGTGAAGCCTACCACAATATATTAGTGAGAACCGCATCCAAATCGATTAAGCCATTTCTGAGGTTAGCGCATGTGTATGTGCACAAACGAACAGATAAACAGACAAACCGAGAAACAGGCAAAAATTCTAAAAATCATTGTTTTGGGTTCTATTGCGTAAATAAAGACTCCCAATGATAGTTTTCCTCAAATATCTTCTATGTACAGATAGCGATCAGTTACACTTTTATTATATGTATAGATAAAGTAAATTGACCGAAAAACTAGAGTTCAAATCAAAATCAAATATTATTATTACCAACATTAGTTCCGTATCTGACACGTTTGAACTCCTGCGGTCTAATCCCACGATACGATCTAATTATTATGGTCACAGCATCTTAAGTTTACCTGGTTATAGAAACCGTATTTTTGTAATCAAAAATTTTATGCTCGATTTGTTTATTAAGCGACCATTGTCTTAGAAACCACTGTGTTTTGTGGATTTCTCTTTGTATTTATTTATAAAATTCATATAATATCTATACTTACCCTCGTTTCGCTTTTTATCTCGGAAAAATGTACGGTTCCCGTGGGATAGGTTTGTTTTTATTTTCCTAGAGGCGAACCCGAGAGAGGTGAGGGTGAGCAGCTAGTATTATATAATATTTAGTTCAGTCTTAGGAAACGTGTTTACAAACAGTTTGACAAGAAATTAATATTTGAAAAAATATTACTCTAAATAATACTTCTGCAACCAAATTTTCACATTTATAGACTTTCAAATCTTATCAACACTGTATCACTGATAGAGTAGCCAGAGATGAAGTGCAATGTACACTACGATCGATAAAGTGACGCAACTATGTTTTGTTTTCGACAGGTTTTGAGCAATATGACGTTATAATATTAACGTAGTGAAGAAGAAGATTGGCATATTTTAACTTACTTTTTAAATCTAGATTGCTTCAAATTTTTGACATATAATTATTAAAATCAGTTCACACTTGGAGTAGGCAGGCTGTTTGTTGGTCTCGTTAAAACTCAAAAACGGCGGAACCGATTTGAATATTTTTTGTTTTGTTGGAGGAATATCAGGGATGGTTTAAATATAAAAAAATAGGGGAAAAGCCATAAAAGCAGTTGGAAAATTGGTAAGTTTAGAACTGGTTATTTTGTATGGGAATCACTACTTCGGATTACTTTCAATAGTGATAGATCTACAACAATACGTCAAGTAAGCTAGAAAATAATAATATACGTATATAACAGTATTTAGTGTATCTATTCTATACTAACGGTTTAAACGTACCTAGGGTCGAACCCGAGCGAAGCGAGGGTGAGTCGCTAGTACATAATAAATATCAAATATAAAATATATTAAGGTGAATATAACATTGCACTAAGTTTAAAATGAACCTTGGATTTTTACTTAAGATACAATTTTTATGAAAACTTTTTACTCCACACTTTGAACAGGCTTGGGAATTAAATGATATTAAATAGATTTCAGTCTACAAGAATAATAATACTCGCACCTCTGATATTTTCATGTGCGAATTATTTCCAACATGATTACCATGAAAACATCGTGAGGAAACCTGCATGTCTGAGATAACCTAGCAAGTTTTTAAAAGGCATGTGTAGTCCGCCAACCCGTATTTGGCCAGCGTGGTGGACTATTGCTTGATCCCCCCCGTATTGAAGGGAGGCCCACCCTCAGCAGTGGGACGTTAAAAAGAGCTGAATGCAGTCTACTAGAATAAGATAAACTATAATACTTCTTTTTATAAAACACTATAAAGTAGCATTGCCACTAAGTTACTCAATAATGTACGAAGTCTGAGTGCATCTGAGTGACAAATCGTGTAAAAATGTATGTTACACTGTTCCTAGGTGATTCTTCTTTTTTATGAACCGATTTCAAGCAAACAAATACTTAATGTTAAGTGAAACTTACCATAATGCGTTGTGAAAACAGCACGCAAATTGGTTAAGCCGTTTCTGAGATTAGCGCGCACAAACGCACTCATAAAACTCATTGTTTTGGGTTCTATTGCGTTAGTAAAGAGCCCCCTCCCCACACACAAAAATAACACTTTTTCTCAAATATCTTCCATGTACAGACAATCAGTTACTTTTATTATATGTAGAGGAGTATGTTTCTAAAATTTAAATTAATAAAATTTTGTATACATTTAAAGATCACAGTTTTCTTGGCCGATACTTAATCATTATTTATTTTTAAACATTAATATACAACTTTTACTAAAAAAATCTTGATCTCAAAAAGGAATGTATATTTTTTATTTCTTTGAACGTGTTAATCTCTCTAGTTACTAGTACGATTTATTTAATTTTTAAATAAAAACTCAGAATAAATCCGAAAAGACATTTTCATATTTTAAGTAGTACTTAAGTCATTACCTTATTTTTTATGAACCTCTTTCATTTTCCCGATTTTTTTGCAAAAAATGTTAAAACATTGCTAATACCAGCCTGAGCGACTGTTTAAGCCCAAAAGACTTAAAACACGTAAAAAAGGTTTTACATTTCAAGCAATAGAGTAAAAATTGGAAAATAAAAAGGGCTTATCGCTTTAAGTGAGATATTTATAAATTGCGCCATCAAGATTTAGTGTTCATAACAGGGTTTTATTTAAATGTATTTATTATTTTTTGCTGTATACAAATCTTTTATCTTTATAAATGTTGAAGGCTTAAAATATATAATAAAACCTGTGAGTGTACTCGTAATCTATACATATAATAAAACTGTGGAGGTCGAACGTCTGTACATAGAAAAAAATCTAAAAACCGAGTCAGAGCATGTAGGAAGAGAAATAGAACAAATCCATTTTTTTTTCTTTTTTTTTGTTTCTCTGTCAGTTTGTCTGTTTGTAGTATGTAGTATTATAAAAAATGATTGCTGTTATTATATTATTTTGCATAAAATCCAAATAAAACACAAAGCCACTATAATGAAGTTTGTGGTTATTTTGGTGTTGGATGTTATGATGGTCAAATAAAATGAATAGAGCGTGACTCAACCACTCTCTCCACTATTAAAACAAATAGTACGTAAAAATAGAATTTCCTTTTGTTATCAGGAAAACTGACCACTCATCAAATTTAGGAATATTATAAAGGTATGTAACTTTGTTCCTATTGAATAACTTACATAACAAAAAGGTCACAGCAATCAACTACTTTAGTTTTATTAGTATTAATTGGCAAAAGTACCCGAGTTAATATACAGAATCAAGGTTAGAAGGAAAAATGCTATTCGATTGTTATTTAGCATTTCGAGAATATTTATCTGAATCCTTGTATTAAATAAATTGATATATATTATCAAATATATATTAATTTAATTAATACAAGATATTTATTGATTGTTATCAAGATATTTATGATTATTTTATAATATCAATTATAAAATATCGAAATGATTTTTAACATAGTATATCGATAAAAAGTAGAAGTACTGCACCAAACACACTAAAATTTTGTTGAATTACGCTTGTTTCCAATAACGTATCTATCTAAAATTTTCCTTACTAGAGATAGAAATTTGACTGAAGCTCCATACAAATTATGTTAAATTCCTATCAACTCCTATCACTGGTAATGAAAATAACATGTAGATTTCGTAGGTTATTGGAAACCTCCGTAAGTGTACTACGTAAAATACGTGACGTGAGACACTCAGAGTCTAGAGCATATAGCGTGTTATTTTAGGGTTGTTATAATTTTGCCTTGTTTTGCCAGTTTCTATGGAAACTATAAAAAGTTTATCATATTTCGTTACAAATAATCTGAGGTTAATATATTTTTTTTGGAGATGGTATTTATTTTATCTCATACTCCAAATACGCTTAAAAATTATTAAGAAATGGTTTGATGATACAATAAACGAAAATGGTTTTTATAAAATTTGTCGTGATCTTGACATAAATTCTTAAATGGATTTATGTTTAGGATATTCAGGAATAGGCCTAATTAGGAAGCTTGACGCCACGTGGGATAAATATTTACGTAAACTGTCAAAATTTTGCAAAAAAATAAAAACTTACCATCATCCTCAACTTGTTCTTCAATAGTCCTGGCACCTTCTGGCAAGTTAACTCTCAAGCCTTTCATTGCGAAGAATTCTTTAACTAAATGTACAAAATATTTAGCTATTTCAGTCCATTCTGATAAAATGCTTCTGGGTTCATTTGGTAAAAGTTCAACTTGTTCATACGTAGTTAAATTTTTGATAGTCTCTTCATCTAAAGGTACTAAGCTTACTACAGTATTGCCTATTATTGTTTCGTTATTTGTATCACCAAAGAAAGTTTTCTTAGCGACTTTCAAAGCTTTGTATTTTATACACGAAAATGCTTCGCCTTTCAAAAAGCAGCCATCTTTGACATAGCGAATGTATTTATCCTCACTACCATATGTAAACTTTAAAGTTAGAATAACGATTATGATTTGAAGAATAGCCGTTGTCCTATTCATTTTGAATTATCTGAAATAATAAAAATATTTATTTCAATTTACCATCTGAATTATGTTAAATAAAGTTTTCGTCTTTGGCGCTTTTTATTATTGAAGTGATATTTTATGTAATTTATAGTCCAGTCAAATAAGGTCTGAAATCAAAACTTGGCACTTAAATTTGCATTTTTGATATAATGTAGTTTTAATGATACAAAAAAAGTGTAAAAGTTTTAGTGTCCGCAACCCCCGGCAAGGGTTCAAAATAGTCAAAAGTATTTTTTCGCAATTAATCGAAATCGGTAAAAGTTAGATGAACGTACATTTAAAAAATCGTAGTTAGTAAAACACTAGCGAATTTTAATTTCCCTTAAACTTAAAACCTCCATAACTCGGTTAATTTTGAACGGAGAAAAAAATTAATAAAACCTTTTTGATGTAAAATTTTAATCTCTGCATATTTTTATTAAAACTTTTTTGACTAATTTTTACCGTGTTCGAGTAATTGCGAAAAAACATTTTTTGATTTTTTTTTATAATAAAATGCCCATGCAGGACTCAAATGTACGACTTTTCCCATATATGAATTATGTGTACTGGGCCATAAGGGACTCAAATATACATAAAAAATGTTTTTTATTAGCTACACTTTATCAATTTACTGGTCCCAATTTGCGGTTAAAATAAGAAGGAAACGTCTAATAGAATAAAAATAAATAATTTGTACTAAATTAAGTAACTTCGTTTTTAAGGGAAAATAATATATTGTACCGAAATATTAGTTAAAATTTAGTGCAAAATCAACTTTATTCTTTTGATCACTAAGTACATTTTTCCATCTCACAGAAATTTGTATCGAAGTTATACGGCTATTTTCATAAAGATACAAAAGACATAAAACATGGTACTTAACCAAACAAGTGATATTTATTTTGTAACATAATTTATTAGGAATATCAATTTCTCAGTTCAAGTACTTCTTTGAATGGGGTTTATTTGAAGAACTAGCTTTGCCGGCGGCTCCGCCCGCGTTCAGATGACCAAAAACCAAATTCTTAAGTTTTACATATTAGTATACTCTTACATTGCAGTTTTTGTATTTTTTCTCAGAAATGAGACATTTTCCCGCAGTAAAAAGTATCCTATATGTTGACCCGGATAACCAACTATTACCATACTAAATTTCATTTAAATCCCTCTAGTAGTTTTTCTGTGATGCGGTAACAAACAGACAGACAAAAATACAAAAAACTATAGATTCGGCCTCTGTATCGATAACAATGTTTATTTCAATAAGATTTTCCAAAAAATAGCTAATGTACAGATTCGGCTTGGTTACAATTTTATTATACATATGACAGTATAGATTAAATTATATTTCCTTAACAATAGTAGTCTTATAGTTAAGCACTAGCTTGGAAAATTAATCGATGCGGGTTCAAACATTAGGTCTAGTACGTGAAAGAGAACATCATGAGGGACTGCATGAACCTAACAAGTTTAAAAAAAACTTTAAATCCGCCAATACTTGTTTGATTGTTACTAATAATAAACTCTTTAGAGTTTAAAATATATTTTTTGTTATATTTTTGTGTAAATAACTAATAAGCACTGTACATCATGAGATGCTTAATTGTACTTAATTATATAACTTACTTATAAAATTGGTATATATAAAATGGTTAACATTTTGCCATAGAATTCCTCTAGGGACATTTTTTTTTAATTTATATATATTTAAAATTAATTTTTTAAATTCAACTATCAAGAAACATTTTTTTCGTGAACTTCCATTGAGATATAATTTGTAAAAAAATAAAAAATAAAGTAATTTAAAAAAAATAAGAATTAAAAAAGTAGGAAAGGAGGAAGTAGAATTAAAACGTAGCTGGGATGGGGTTGTTCTAGTATTAATCTAGTATAAAATTGAATTTTTTTTTGTATATTTGAACGCACTAATCTCCAAAAAATTAACAAAAAAAGTTTTGTGTTTTATAACTAGTCCATTGATTGAGGAAAATAAATAAGAACAGGATAGAATATCTAACATCAAATTCTAACGCTTAGGAGCTGAACGGTATACATAAATAAAATGCGAGTGAATACAGTGGAAAAAAATATTTCTTCAGGGACTCAAACTGACTAAATTAAAAGCTGTATTATTATATGAAAATTAATAAACCCTATTAAATAGCATTTTTTTAGGTTTTTTGTGCTAGTACCTAATATTAATTTCAGAAAAAATAGCCCAAGCAAAATAAAAAAAGGGTTGCGGGTGGTTTTTAAGCTACTTTAAAATAACTGTTTCACATATTTTCACCACGGATATTAATAGCCTATTAATTATACTCAAATTGTTAAGAGGTTGTTGCTTCGAAACTTTCCGGCATTCTTCTTTAAGAAACAGGACTTTGCATTAAGTAATTTAATTAAGCTCGTCAAAATAACTTTTTATAAAAAACCTTTTATAATTTTAAATAATTTTAAGTTATAATCCATACTAATATTATAAATGTGAAAGTGTGTTTGTTTATTTGTTTAGTGACGGATTGATGTGATTCTTTGTGTGGAGATAGTTGTAGGGCTGGAGAGTAACATACTTTTTATCGCGGGAAATTATCTCATTCCCACGGAAAATAGCGTTATAATACAGCCCAAAAAATTATTTATGATCAGAATTACTTGAAACTTGGTAATTTAATGCTCTTCAATACAATTAAATAAATACGTGTTTTAATTTTTTTCGTAATTCATCCCATAAGGGGGTAAAATAGGGGATGAAAGTTTGTAAGAAACCTATGTTTATAGTTCTTTTTGTAGTTTAAGCGCGAGCAAAGCTCGGGTTTTGCTAGTTGCTACATAAATGAACATAAGTAATAGTAGTAGAATTTGCTCGATAAAAAGTATGTACGAACTTTTTTGTTATATAATAACATAAGTGGAACATTATGATATCAAATAAAATAGATAATTTATTTTTTACTCGAGCCCAATGTTATTGATAGGGCGCTTACAAAATCTAATTTACGTATGAAAATTTTCAGTATGACCGGTTTGTTTATTCATAATTTGTTTTATTATGCAGATGTTTTTCTAATAACGTCAGGAGGAGCTTTTTTTTTTAATTTTTGTTTTTATGTTTTTTTTAATTAAATTATATATCGTTCATTCACATTCAATATTATATAACAATTAATATTTTTAATTTATATAGAATTTATTAATTATTTTTCCATAATTTATAATATTTTAAATTCTATTAAAAAAAAATATTTAATTACTATGTTTTTTTTTCACTTTACAACCATTTTTTTTATAACTTGATATTAAATAATTCTCTTTCACGTATTATAATAATATAATTTAATAATAATATTAATATTTATTATAATATTTACCTTAAGTTTTTAAACACTTAATCACAAATTCACTTATTCGAGGAGATAATATAAAAATGTTAACACCACAACTGATCGACACTCAATGTCAAGTCTAAAGCAGCGACTCTATTTAAATGATCTGCAATCATCGGAAAATAATACGATGCAAATGGTTTCGAAACTGAGTAGACGAGAGCATTCGACTTTCCCTGCTTTTATTTAAAATTATATACAATTTCCATTTAAATGGTGTTATGTTGCTTAGAAAGATAAGTGTTAGTAAGCTGTTTTTATTTACAAGTGAGAACTTGGTAACATATTAATCTATATCCTTACAGTTTTTTTAAATAATATTTAATTTATAATTTATCCTTATACATAAAGACAGTCGCCGGCATGCGTCTATCTGTATGGGTGTTTATCTCTAATACAATTGAACAAATTTGGATGCGATTTTTGGTGTTACGTATACATTTCTTTAGATTTTAGTATAATAAAATGGTGTTAAGATATGCATTACTTTGAAGATTCCTTTAAAATACAATAAGTATAGGTCACTAGAAAAGAATAAAATAAAAACACACTCAGGTAAAAAGGTAAATTTAAATAAAATTTCTTAGAGAGTGTTTCTTCTACTTTATTATACAACTAGCTCGATTCCCCATACAAACTTTCATCCCCATTTCCATTCCGTTAAGGGATGATTTCCGGGATAAAATTATCCTATGTCCTTTCTAGGGTCTCAAACTATCTTCTTACCAAATTTCATCTAAATCGGTTCTGTAGATCCAGAGATTACCCTCTACAACGTCACAAACTCACAATCTCACAAACTTTATCTCTTTATAATATTAGTATAGACAATACTTGCAGGATAATAACAAAATTAATTAATTGCTCCATATATCGATTTCAAGTAATTATTTAATAGGAAAGATAACAAGCGCATTATTTTTCTTCCCTCGCTTCTGTATGTTTATAATTTAATGGGCAGCGCCATCTTTTGGTAAATATTATAACTAACACTAGCCTATGTGTTACTCCAGGTCATAGTCTATCTGTGTACTAAATTTCGTTCTTTATCCAGCCGTTTCATCATGGAGGAGTAACAAACATACATACACATATTTAAATTATAGTATTTATAGTAGTGGTGTGGATATGTAAATTAATACAAACGATTAACGCCTTAGTCAATATTTACATCTTAGTATGTACGATAAGGTTTTAGCTTTTTCTGAAATACTCCAATACGAGCACCATTATTTTTTTAATTATTTCCTAAATATACATGAGTTCAACTCGCACTTAACTTATTTATATTAATGATAAACACCAGTACAAAATTATATATTTCTTATTATACATACTCCTTGGTTTCGTAATACAATCCCTGGTTTCTATTGCGTACGTTTCACTTTCACTCTCTGTTTCAACCCATTGATATGGAAAGGTAAATCTCCTTAGTGAAAGAAATATCGCGATTCGTTAGGATTAAAAAATATTAAAAAAAAATACATACAGAGGAATATAGACCCTCTTTTTTTGGAAATCGGTTAAATAACATAACAGCCATATTTTGAAAGATATTTTCTTTTAAAACGTCACATATTCGCGTGAATCTAAGAAAGTTTTATATGT